TAGAGCTAGGATTAGGTTGCATGATCCTCTTTAAGGAATTTGGTGAGCTCAACTACATGTAGTTAACAGAATGAAGCTTGGTAGGGAGTGCTTATTTTTTGCAAAGCAATGGAGAGATCTCGAAAAGCATAAACAATATGATTTCATGACTTGTTAAGGTAATTAAGAGATGTCACACACATGTATTAAATTATATTGACTGTAAGGAATAATAAAACGCTGTATACATTTTTACATGATATTAAAGAAACCATTACCAAAATGATAAGTAGCTCTGTTTTTGATACTTGAAGGAAGTTCAGCACACATTCTAGAACAGGTATGGAAAGCCATAAGAAGTATTCAAGAGCTAACAATATTTCTGTGACAGGAAAATATAGGAGGTGAGGGTATTTTGTTTTTATTTATGTAGAAGGTGGGTAAGATACAGCTCAATCAGAGTTTCAAAGCAGGAAATTTCTGCTAATAGAAAGTTATTTAATTTAGGATAGAAAGGCGTAATGTGATCCAAAAGCTTGAAGTTGAAGCTAGATATGTTGATTCTACATATAGCATGATACTCTTAATAGTGAAGATGAAACCATGTATTCCAGGAACTGAAAGTAGCCATGTTCAGAACTGCAAATCTAGGTGATGAAAATGATGTTTTCATAATTATCTTTTGACAAAATCCACCCTGTGACACAGATACAAATGACTAACCTTCTGCTTGGTTTAGTTGGTTAGTGGTGTGGTTGAATTCTTCGACCATTCAATTACTTAATTTAGTTAAATACTATATTGGTGCTTTTTTAACTTATAAATCACTCAACTTAGTGGAATAGGTCTTCTGCAAGAAAAAGCTGTCCTATATTCAAGTTACATGCTAAATCAATTTTACAGTTGGTTTATATAATGGAGTAACACCAGCCCACAAGCATCTGCTCTTAGGGCGCTGCATATTCCTACTCAAACATGTACTAGTCAGTGCAGATCAGATGACAGTACTCCTTCAAGCAGCAATGCTACTTCTGCAGCACCCCACAATTCCCAAATGTTTTAAAGGAGAGGCTGTAAATGTGGATTGCCCATTTCTGTGTGTGTCTTTTAATAAAACAGTGGATGTGAGACAATGGTTTCTGCTTAATGATTATAATCCCTTACTTTAGTGTCAATTTCTGTACGTAGATTACTTTTAGTCATGGAAGAAGTTAGTTAAATAGTTGAAAAAAGTTAGAGTTGTTTATTTACGTAGCTTGGCGTCATTTTCTTCTATGGAAGAGTTTCACTTTTGAAAAAGGTGCTGTATGTAATTTAAAAGTTTTTACTTGACAGGGGGTATTTGTTAGCTGCTTGGCATGCCTTGGCAGGAGGTCCTTTATGATACCATGTCTTCAGTTCCTCTGCCTTGCAAGGGGGAACAAATCAGATTGCAGTCCTTGTTATTGCAAAAAGATTAATCTGACACTACTAAAGAATCACCCATCTTAATGAAGAAAAACATGTCTTAACTCTGGACCTTCTGGTCCTCAGAAGTTAAATTCCTGTGGCAGGTCTCAAGTGTAGGAGTCACTTCTAAAGTATCTGCAGTTTTGGTTCTCAGCAAACACAAAAGACTTTCAAGTCTATGGATTCCATTAATACTGACCTCTGAGAAGAATGAGACATCAGATCTGTGTGTATCAAATAGTAAAAATGAGTCATGGAATAAGAAAGTTGTGGGATGCTGTGGGAAGTTGGGCCGTAGATCATGCTTCTGAGAAGCTTTGCCCATTGATACCTCTACTATGTATATAATCATTCACTGGCAGCTTTGGTTTCCAGTAAAACATATCCACATATGCATGTGCTCTGACATCAGATATTCAAAATACAGTGAGTATGAACATGACATGACAATATCTGATATATACTAACTGATCTTTATACAAGTAAACAAAAGGATTTGGAGGAAAAATCTGAATCAGGTTGTAATATTGGGGAATGGAAATTTTCTTCAACTTGTGATGTAATGGCTCAAGACATAAAAGTGTAAATTCTGTGTTAATGTATTATGCTGTCGTGGAAGTCTGCATCATGGAAGCTGAATTGAAGTATTTAAAATTAGGCATCCTAACAACTGATTTTCTTTTATATTTTTTTCTTCAAAATAATTATAAGCTTTGGAATAACAGGGTGTTGAAGTACTCTATGAAAAACTATTGCATACAAGTGAATACAGAGCAAAGTATCCTATTTCACACATACAGATCTTAAAACCAGTTTTAAATGTTGTTTTGAGAAAGAACATATTTCTGTTAGTGTTATTACTGTCACACTTTTACTGCTTGATGCATGTAACTCTGATTTTACCTGTTTCCCTCTAGATCCCAACTGACATCCAGACATAATTTTTATATTTTTCCCTTCCATGTATAAATTAGGATAATCTGGCATATCTGTGAAGGCCCCTGGGAGATCCAACATACTGATAAGAGAGAGAAGATAGTGACTGGTTTTTATCCTTGAAACCCATGATGTCTACTCTGAGGTATTCAGATGTATCTGTATTAGTCTCCCCTTTTAATATGTTCAGAGATACTCCACTGTCCCTGATAGCAGAGTCATTATTTAGTAAAAAGGCAAAAATAAAAGAATAAATTCAGTCCAAAGCCTGTACTGTAGCTACTTGTGCAGTATGTCCTGGTAGAGTACACTGGTATGAAAAGATTTTATGAGGTAAGGTTGCACTCCTCCATACTTGGCAGCAAAGCACAGAATTTGCAGAAGATAGGCTAAAGTGCCAAGAACATGTGCCAAGTCATCATATCTCTTCAGCTCCTTCTGCTGGAAGGACCTCACTGCAGCTCCCAGAATGTTTGAAAACCACCATCAGTCAGTGATAATGCTGCTATTTAAGCATCAATCCTTACTTCAGGGCAATTGGCCAGACTGAAGCAGACGGCACAATTTCTCTCTTATTTTAGTAATTTGTCAAGTGTTTCAGGCTGAACACTTAGGCAAATAAATGTGAACCATTAGAGAGTGCTTTGTTTGTTTGGGGTACGCTGAATTAAATAATGTACTTTGTTAGGGTGTTTCCTAGAAAACTGACTTAGTGTGATACTGATGCTGAAGGGTGACAGCTGTGTAATCAGGGCAATGCTGTGGTAACTTTCATTGAGGACAATCATTAGCTAGTGCCATGTATTTATACTGAATATAAAGCTCAAGTTAAAAGGACTTAACCTTAACTTTAACACTTACCTGTTAAAACTTCTGTTCAGTTTGGAAATCCCCAGTGGGTGGGTGGGTTGATTGGTTGGTTTTGGCGCTAGTCTTTCTTCCTCTCGCCTTACAAGTAGTGGGTAATAACATAGAGTGCCACAGAGTACTCATTCAAAATGGATCAGAGGATTACCATCAACCATTAAAAAGTGTACTAGACTACAATGTATCTTTATTGTCCATTTTAAATAGGTTGAATGATACACAGTTTTTCATTATTTTATCAGTTATGATCGTATTCAGGCTACAGTTTGGGAAAAAGTGGCAAATAGAGTTACTTAGGTTTTTTTCTCTACCTTGCTGTCCTATAATGTAGTTATGATGTTTTATACACAGCTATTCATCTGTAGATACCAGTACACTGAGATCACTGTCAAAGGAGATATTGTATTTTTTTATAAAATGCTACCTCCAGCTTACAAATAGGGAAATGAAGGCACAGGGAAGAAAAGATGCTTCCCCCTCCCCCCCCCTAAATTTATCCAGTTGGCCAGTTGTAAAATCAGGAGTAGAGCTCAGGTCTCTCAAGGTCCGTGGTCTCCATTCAACTGCTTGTTTAACAATTGGAAAAGTCATTACTTAATACTTCAAAGCTTTAACCCTCAAATTTGCTAATCTATTGACTTTACTTCCCTGAGGCCAATTTTAGAATAGTTTACTGTGTGTCTCTTCACCTGTGAAAGGGCAAGTAAAGATTCTGATATTTGCCTGCAGTATAGGTGGACAGTTGTCATTTTGGTTCAGAATTTTACAATTAGCTAACATGGTCATATATAACAAGTAGATAGGTCTTTATGTTGTAAAATCTTGTTTCTAATCATAATCTTGATGTTTTGAATACATATGAAGGTGTTTTATGTGTTTCATACAACATGGCTGTTAATAATATACTTCATATTCCTCATATTCCTCTCCTTTTTTTTTTTTTTTTACTTTTTATCTTCTGTAGTTTTCTGGAAAAGCAGTTTCCTCTTAAAGTCTCTGACTCAGATGGGAAAGGCCATCATGTAAGTTAGGGAGATGGGAATTTGGCATGCAGAGAAAAAAACACCAAAGAGAAGAGATAGAAAGCCACATTCATGATATATCTGGACAACAAGATATTGCCGCAAAGCAGTGTGTCCATGTTGACTCCAAGTGAACTATCTGGGTTGCCAGATGCAGTGAAACTGTGGTTTCACTCAGACTGGGGATTGGACTAGGGAATGTTGTTCATAGCTAGACTTGGGTAACTCTGCATGGCACTGCATTGTACTTCTGTTGATGAGGCAGAGAGCAATAGTTACATGTGAGCTTTTACGTAGGTGTGAAATGACTCACTCAAAAAAGTATTTTCTCAGATTTTAAAAAAGAAATCCTGCTACAAAATTGTTACTGACCTAAATTATTAATTTTATTATGTCTTGTTAAGTACAAAAATCTGATACATTAATGTGTTATATGAGCCAATAATGTATAAAAAGAAATTTAAGATGCATCCTGCTGATTTTTTATGTTAAGTCATGTACTTTATTTCACAGGCAAAGAAAACAGGCAAGAACAGATCACTCACAATTGCACGTGTTTCAGCCTGATGATGTTGGTACTTATATTAGAACAGTGGAAAGTCAGCATGAATTCTTTTGTTTTACAGAAAGCAAGAAGAATTTAGGTCAATTAAGGGGTAATTAGAGTTTAATTGGTAGTTCTTTTTTTTCCTTTTTTACTTCTGGTGATAACAGGAATGTTAGAATCCTTGACTTTGATGGCAACAGATTGGGCAGGCCTGGTGTTGATTGCTACTGCCAACATGAAAGCGGTGCGGCAGTTCTGCAGCTCCAGTTCTTAATCAATGAGGTAAGGACATATTTACTCAGATTCTTCTGTATAAATTTAGTTGAATAAGTCAATTCTTGTATTGTGATTGAGTGATATAACTTTTCACACTGACAAATTGTGCTAACAAGTAAGTGATGTACATCCAGAGGACATTCACCATGCAGACTTTTAGAAGACTATTTACGGGATTGCATGCAGGGAAAGGTATTACCTTCATATACTTCAGTATAAACTACTGAACAAAAGGCATTCGATATGTGAATGTGTGCAGGTAGATGTAAAATCCATTAAATTACTAAATACGCTGCTCAGCCCTGTTTCAAGTAGAAATTAATAAATGACGTAAATCTTTCTATGGAAATATATTGGTGGTTTTTAGTGAAAACCTCAATAGTTGGGGATATGCTACTACTTGAAGCAGAGAAAACCAATTGCAGGGGTCATCAATCAAACCAGCATGCTTAGTCTTTGTAAATGGTTTGCCGAAATCTAGTTAAGACGACATGAAGAAACAGTGACAGATTATAGCTTGCTCTGTTCAGAAGATCTCTGAAGATGGTAACAGGCAAGAAGACTTCCTGGAGCATATAAATCTGGTGGTTTTTTTCTAGAACCTCATAACTTGGCCAAATTGTAAGCTAATTGTAGTTCAGCTTTAATTATTTTCTCCCATAATATAAGGAAACACTTTTTACAGTTTCAAGTCCCCTTTCTAAGCGTGGAGATCTTAGAGCTTTTCAAGGAAAGAGTTTTAGTTTTGTGGGGTTTTAAACCCGATTTTTTTTTTCTACACCTGTTTGGAGAAAGTACCTGAACCACAGAAACTGAGGAGGGAGGACTGAAACTTTAGAAACAATTAGTCTAGTGGAATCCTTTAGAGGAAGGCAGGGATGAAAACCAGTAAGGCCAAGGTTTGGATCAGTGTTCTTTCGTTTCATAACGTGACCAGCAGAACCCCTAATACGTAGGATTAATTTGATTTCTGTGGTGGAGATTCTCTCTGACATCGGTCCAAACTCTTTGGGAGATGAAAATTAATGCGTGGATTACACTGTTAGAGAAGTCTTACCTTCAGAAATTTCATTTTATAGAATCATCTTAAGATCATCTAAGATCATAAAGTCTGACTGTTAACCTAGCACTGCTGTCTTACCACCGAACCATGCCCCTCAGCACTACATCTACCCATCTTTTAAATACCTCCAGGGATGGCGATTCCACCACTTTCCTGGGCTTCCTGTTCCAATGTTTGATAACCTTTTCTGTGAAGAAATTTTTCCTAATATCCAATCTAAACCTCCCCTGAAGCAACTTGAGGCCATTTCCTCTTGTCCTGTCACTTCTTACTTGGGAGAAGAGACTGACCCCCACCTCACTACAATGTCCTTTCAAGTAGTTGTAGAGAGCGATAAGGTCTCCCCTCAGCTTCCTTTTCTCCAAAGTAAACAACCCCAGTTCCCTCAGCTGCTCCTCATAAGACATGCTCCAGACCCCTCACCGCCTTTGTTGCCCTTCTCTGAATATGCTCCAGCGTCTCAATGTCTTTCTTGTCTTGAGGGGCCCAAAACTGAACACTGCATTCAAGGTGTGGTCTCACCAGTGCCGAGTATAGGGGGACAATTGCTTCCCTAGTCCTGCTCACCACACTATTTCTAGAACAAGCTGGGATGCTGTTGGCATTCTTGGCCACCTGGGCACACTGCTGGCTCATATTCAGCTGGCTATTGACCAACACCCCCAGGTCCTTTTTCACCAGGCAGCATTCCAGCCACACTTCCCCAAGCCTGTAGCACTGCCTGGGGTTGTTGCGACCCAAGTGCAGGACCTGGCACTTGGCCTTGTTCAAACTCATACCATTGGCCTCGGCTCATTGATCCAGTCTGTCCAGATCCCTCTATAGAGCCTTCCTACCCTCAAGCAGATCAACACTCCTGCCCAACTTGGTGTCATCTGCAAACTTACTGGGGGTTCGCTTGATTCCCCTCATCCAGGTTGTTGATAAAGATATTAAACAGAAGTGGCCCCAGTACTGAGCCCTGGGGAACAACACTTGTAACTGGCCACCAACTGGATTTAACTCCATTCACCATAACTCTTTGGGCCTGGACATTCAGCCAGTTTTTTACCCAGCGAAGCATATGCCCATCCAAGCCACGAGCAGCCAGTTTCTCCAGGAGAATGCTGTGGGAAATGGTGTCAAAAGCTTTATTGAAGTCCAGGTAGACAACATCCAATGCCTTTCCCTCATCTGCTGAGTAGGTCACCTTATCGTAGAAGGAGATCGGGTTAGTCAAGCAGGACTTGCTTGACTGTGCGCATGTCAACATTGAAAAGATCAGTTGCTAGAGTTCAGAAGGAAATCGAAGATGCAAAAAAGAGAAGTTTAGCAGTCGGTCGTACTTGGTATGAACTGGTCTTTCAGTTACATCCTGACCTTTCCTCAGAATAAAGCATTGCCTTCTGTTTGGGCAATATCTAGTTCTTCTCTGCAATAGTAATACACAGGGATAGCTCCTCTTCACTAGATCTGATCTGAGGTGTAAATGTAGGAAACCACTGCGGCAGCAGGAGAGAGCTTCGTCTGCTGTCCATTTTCACATGGCATCACTGTTCCGTGGTGAGGAGAAAGATAGTAGGAAGGACGTAGAATCAATTCACTTCAAGCTGCCCGGGCAGATAGAGGTCTAGACCTTGGAAGTTGTCCATTTTTGGAGCACCACAAGCAGAACCAGTTGTAGGAGTATTTCTGATCTGTGATGAAGACTCTGTCCTTTTTTTATACATTTCTTAGTTATTCCTGCGTGCTGTCTCCCTGCTACCTGTTCTTACTTTCTTATCTGCATCTTCTTTTCACAGTTCAGGTTTTGAATTTCATGTTGTCTTGGTACAACCACTAAACTGTGCTTGGTACTGTCATTTGTGTGTGTGTGTGTGCACTAATCCCTTAGTCCTTTAGTTATAGCCTTCACACTCACCCTTTAAAGTGTTATCTGTTCTCTGTTTCATTAATCTCTATGCTTATGTGGAAATACATGAGAGTTCACAGGTATAACCTTGATGCAAAGCTTTAATTTGCATTTTGAATTGATGGATTTTTAATTTAACTTTGGCTGATCTTGTACTAATTTGAAATACTTACATTTACCAGATCAATTTGACTATTATTTATGGTAGAATGTATTTTTTTTCTAGAAGAAACTAACCATTTTTCATAAATTATATCATCTTCTACGGGTAGATCATTAACAGTGATGATCATTTAAGAATAAGATAAAATCTGCAGAAAGGTAATATGTTATGCTGTATTTTGTGTCTGCTCTAGGGTGCTTTGGTCAGTGCAAGTGCAGATGATGCACTTCATTTGTGGAATCTTCGACAGAAACGACCAGCTATCCTACATTCTCTGAAATTTAACAGAGAAAGGTAAGACAAAATAAATATATCGTTAAAAAACCCAAACTTACCTTCTGTGTTTCTAATAATACATGCCTATTAGTTTGCCTTTCTAAAGGTGGATATAGTGTTTTCTTTCATTGTTTGAGCGTTGTTTCCATAGAACAAAACCTTCACTTTTTCTGCAGCCTTCTCAGAAATAGAAAAATTTTGTCTGCTTTTTGTCAAAATGTTTTTCATTTTACCTTCTATTCGCATGAGCTGCTGTGAACAGTAATGTGTTTATTTTTCTTAAGACCAGACACAAGTGCTGTGATCCTTTCTGCTGATCTGTTGTTCAGTACTAGCCAGAGTATCTCAGCTAGCTGTATCAGGGAAATAATTATTTTCTCTACCTTGAAGGGGTTTTATTTTTGTGAAAGACTGGAAGTTTAGCAGAAAAAAAATTGTGAATTTGGGAAACTATGGTAAACGTCAAATGAATCAGAGACTGTTTTTCTACGTTTTACATTATCTGTACCTAATTGTAGAAATCCCTACTGAAAAGAGATTAAATGAGTGGTTGTAATTTTCAAACTCAAACAGAAGCTGAGCACTTTAATCTGTATTTAGTCATCCAAGTAAAACCTTCTATGATATTATGGAGCTTGAATGCTACACTTCTATTAATATTGAGAAGTTCTGTCTTTATAGAAAGGAATTAGGTCAGTGGTCGGAAGACCAGGATTCAGTGCATAAATGCAGCAGTTGTTTTTTTTATGAGTCCTTGAGCAATACAGTTATTCTGTACTTCATCTTTGGGATGGATTTTTTGAAATTTGAAAACATAGATGTAATATAGTATGGTTTTGCTGGAAGTTTAAGTGATACTGTAATTCTCTTAGTAATACATTGTGTTTATTAAGGTGCAGCAACTTGTTTTAGATATTTATATATTTGCTTGTACAGTAGTGAAAGATATCAGTACTTTACCAGAGCTATGAAGTAAACAGGCTTATCAAAGCTTTAGCTGCAGCCAGTCTGAAAATTATTATAAAAATAACCTTTTTCTTTTTGTTTATTATTCAGATACGTATTATGTTTGCATTTAAATGTCACTAATTTGCAAGTTTTGTTGTGGGAAGTATTACATAGTAATTTAGAAAATACACATCCTGATTCCACAGACTTTATAACCTATAGCAAAGAAAAATTATATGTACATATGCTAGCTGCTTCTGAACAGTAAGTCATCATTTTACATACGTTGAAATATTTCAATGTTGGTATTCTCATTGGGTAGGTAGGTTAACCACAATTTTTCATTGATAAATCTAAATATTGCAGAAGTTATTCCAGTACATCTTGGTCTAGCTCTCCCAGCCAGCAACCTTCCATACAACTTAAGGAATCAATCAATACTTATAAGAATGCAGTGTCTGTTCACCTGTTTGCCTGTCATTTCTCTTCAGAGACACTAGCATGGTATCTTGTTCAGAATTTTATCAGAATTTTATCAGAATTTTATCAGAATTTCATCAGAATTTCATCAGAATTTCTTGATAAAATAAACTCACACACATTTGGGCTTTGCTAAAAGCAAAACATTTGTCATCACATTTACCTAAATTTTCGTTTGCTTCTGACAGCCTACATCATTGGACAAAGTATTTGGAAGCAAGTTATTTGGAATACTGGAAACCTTTGCACAAAAACAAATTTTGTGTAATGTCATTTTTGAACTGAGGTTTAGAAAGGATCTGAGGATATAGTTATTTGTAACAAATGCATAGCTAGCTATACTGCCTTTTATCAACGTTTAGCAAGTTGAGTAAAAGAAGATACTATTAGTTCTTTTATGCGTATTTTAAGTAACCGATATGACTGCCATTTACATAATATTTGCACATCGAAGGCTATGAGGCAAACATCCTGATACACTGCTATATAATATTGTCAAAGAAGTAAGTCCAGTTTCAAATTAAAGAGTCTTCAATAAGTATGAAGAAATAACTTTGTAGGCAGTTCTTTTTTCTTCTCAGGGTTCTCTAGCACTGCCCTAAGTTTTTGGTTTTATGTATTCAATGAAATGAAGTCTTTTCAAATCAAGTTAATGAAATCTCTTCATTTTTGTTATATTTTCCGTTAGCATACACTTCAATTAATTCCAAATCATCTAACTTTCAATTTTCTAAGCTTGATTACACATTTAGTATGTAAAATTCAACATAAGGCTCTGGGCAAGTAGAGAAAATGTAAGGCTAAAACCCTAAGTAACCCTCTCATTAATTTGGAACATTTCTCTGTATATCTGCCTAACAGAGCTAAGTCTAAAAGAGAGCTTCCATTTTTTTCCTGAATATATTTTTTGTGCTAGAGTGCAGACATGAATTACGTGATGCTCAGAGAAACAGCAAATAATGGTTGCCTTAGCTATAAGAAGTTTATGGCAAAATGGATGTAAGGGGAATTTGGGAGGCTGATAAAGCGATAACATAAAAATTTATTTTCTTCAAGAAATTCGAAGGCCTGTCTTCCAAAAATTAATGTCGTCTTCACTGTTGAAACAGTTAAAAAAAATAATAATTTCATCCTCTCCTCTTGTAGGGGGATGTTAAGGGGAGGCAAGATTCATACTTGAGAGGAAGATTCTTTCTTTTGTCTTGTTTTAAGTTTGTGACCCAATGAACGGGCTGGTTTTGATGTTTCTTAAATCGGGCGAAATGCTTGTTGACAGATAATAGGTTTTAAAATACTGATGCATGTTTTCAGAAAACAGTAAGGTATTGCAAAAGGCCATACAGGTTTAGACAGTCAAAGACTAGTTCTTACAAGAACACTTCTTATAATTTAATTTTAGACTTAGACAGCGTTTACAGAGCCAAACATGATTATTCAGATGCATTTTACCTATGAAAACGGAGCATGTGGCTGCTTCAAATTTTCCTATTTGAAAGTCTCTCTTGAGGTTTTGTAAAAAATGTAATTTTATTCATGCAGTATGTTTACCTCCTTGATATGCTCTTTCGCTTAGATTTTTTTCTGAACAATTGGCAGATTTAGTTCATGAAGTCATGCAATATAATGCACTTTTACTTAAAATTCTATTTTATCTGCTTGTGTTGAGGAAGATACTTGTATTAGTCCAAATTCTTGCTTAATTTGACTTCAGTTAATTAGCTTTCGTGTAGAATCAGTTTATTCTGAGTTTTCAAAATATTTGATGCATGAACCATACAGCTGTTAGATTCTGTTAGACAGATTAATACTACTTAAGTCTTTGGCTATTACTCAGTGCACCAGTCTTCATACTGTTGAACTATTTAATTTGCAATTTGCTTCTGTTTCTTGATATTTAAGATTGCAGGATAATGCACTAAAACTTGCTCTTAGCAGTGTTTCTGTATATGTTTATACAACTACTTGAGTCAAATTTCCCCAAGCGTATACATATATATTCCCCCTTTCCCTCCCCAAAAGTAAAAAACATTTTTGCTCTTTTCTTCAGATGTTGGTAAAAACATAAAGACCAAAGAACTCTTATATGCAGCACACTGGTTATCTTTCACTTACCATGTAGCATTCAGTATTAATTCACTGGATGCTTTATGAATAATAATTCACTAACAAAATGAACTTTTGTAGCCATTAAGTCATAGTTTGCAACCTCTCCAGATTTATTTTTTTCTTCTTCTGACCTATTGTTAAACTAATGCTGATGCAACCTTAGCGATATTAACCCGTCTCTGATAATTCATGGCTCCTTTACTAAGTGTCTCTTTGTGGCAAGTGTAGAGGGAACACTGAAGAATGAGACATAATGGCAAACTGATACTTGTTCTGCAGTTTAATGCTCTGGAATGTAATACAATGCCTTAAGAACCTTCAAGAAAATATAAATGTAGGCAATGGATTTCAGTGCTTGGTGCCATACCAAGAGCTATAATGATAACACGGTTACTCAAAGACATGCTTAACTGTAGTGTATGGTTGATAATATGGTTTGCTGTTCCGTTTTCAAGTAGGATGGACAGGTAAAACTTTTTAACCTCTGGAAACTCTCCATAACAATCTCTTCAGTACTTTTGAAGGATAACATGGTGATGTTCCTTATGTTAGTCCCTACTTTTCTTTCTTTGATTATATAGGAGATGCCAGATTCATCTTCAGTAGACATTTGAGGCAAAATGAGTAAGTCAGCTACTAGACACTAGACACTATCTCTGTCTACTGCAAGGAACATTAGAATTAAGCTAAGCCACTGAAAACTATTATAGGCCTTAATTATTTTCAATATAGTCAGAGCAGACTTCAGCAAGTATAGCTTTAAATATACACCAGTTTACATAGTTTTCCCATTTAAGATTATTGCAACTGGAATAGGAAAAACCAGCAAGGATTACAGTGTGAAATCCAGGTCTTTTAGGCCTGTGTGCAGTAGCTTAAACTATGAACATAGTTTATCTCCTGTTATTCCGAAGCTGAGCTAGTTCAGTTGTGTTGACTGACATGGGGGATAGCCCTCCCTTTTTTCTTCTTTTAGCCAGTGCTGACTGGCATGTTACAAGTGAGCCAACAGTGGTACAACAATTTATCCAGACTTGTAGTCGGCATACATGAACACAGTGTGTAAGTCCTGTTGGGTCTTTAAATCCATCTGTGTGCACTGGTGCCATGACAATACACAATAGCATAAGTGCCCTTCCACAGGAGAATTACCAGGTGACAAAATTTGTGTAACTGGCTTTGGGGCTCTGATCTGTAACACCTCAGTGTTAAGGGAATGCTGGCACAGAGGAAGAAGGAGCCTTTGAAGTGGGTGGCTTTTAGAGCGATTCTCAGTTAGCTGTAACTTACTGTTAATTAGAAACTTGACTCCTACATCTGAGTTTTTGCAGTACTTGAACAAGATGATTGAGAGTATTACTGCAATGCTTGGAAGCAAAGAGAAAAAACAGGTATTTTTGTATCTGATGACTTTTCTTTTGTGTGTTGGTCTATATTGTTTCCTGAATCTTTGTCTATCTGTCTTGCTGTATCTTTACAGGATT